GGAGGGGGTTGTTTTATTTCCTTACAATAAATATAATTTCACTTCAGTGTCCCTAATCCTGGCCAAGAATATTATTTATTTATACATATTAGTATATATTGGTACTTGGAGGAGAAAAGCAAAAACAATGACACTTTGTTACTAAGATCTGGCACGTTTTCTGTGTTAACAAGGCAATGTTTATTAGAACTGAACACTGGGCAAACAGCTGAACACTCAGATGAAGCACATATGAGAGCTGTTATACCTGCCAAGCATTCGTATTTTTGTCACCCAGTTCTGACATTAAGGCCTGGTTCACACCTGGGCGTTTTACAGCGCGTTCCTCAGCAACGCTCAGCATGTGAAAACCAATGATTGCCTATGGGCATGGTTCCCACCTGGGCGCTTTACAGCGCGTAGGAATGCGCTGCAAAACGCCCTACGCCCAAAGAAGTACAGGAGCTTCTTTGGGGCGTATTTGCCGCGCGTATCCATTGGGATACAGCCAGGTAGCCCTGGTAAAAACGCACGGCACGAAACGAGCATATTCGATATGCCTAGGTGTGCACCAGGCCTTACACAGCCTTGCTGCACAGCCAGATGGATGTCACTACGTCTTTTGTTAGAGGTATTCACTGTAGAAGGAATATAGTGGTGTCGTCTTTCCACCCCCAGCCCGCTAATTGGACAGTACAGGGTCAGCAGAAGAGTGATGAGGTCGTTTGTTTGCTCACTCTGCTCTCTCCTTTTATCATCATGCTCCTTGCCAGTACATTTGTATGCAGCACTGGGCTCCCGGTCCTGCCCTATCCTCTCCCAAAGAGTTACTGTATAGGGCAGGGGTAGGCAACCACAGCACTCAAACTGTTGTGAAACTACAAATCCCTTGATAAGGTGCAGGACTCTGACAGCCACAGTCATGATTTAGAGAGGCAGAGACATGATGGGATTTGTAGTGTCACCACAGCTAGAGAGTTGCCTAACCTTCATATAGGGAATTGCCTCGGCTGATACCAAGCCAAATTCAGACACTTACCCTAGTTGCATTTAAAAAAAATAATTAATGATTTATTATGTATACAGCGATGTATTAATTTGTGGATTTTTTTTTTTATATCTTCCTGGAGTTCTGCTTTAATAGTCAAGTAAAAAGCACTGAAACTGGCCTGCACTGCGTGAAGAAACTATCAGACAGGTAAGACACTAGATGTGATAATTATGTACAAAATGACCCCCTCCTAAGGTGTTAAAGCAGCCCAGCTCCTCCACCTCGGGTTTCATCTACAGGCTATGAACATGCATTTTCAAGAGATGAATGCTGCAGTTGCGGCCTCAGGTTTTATTGCTGTCTGTGTCCTTGCGGGGTAGATTTACCCCTTTCTTTGTCCTCATAACCATTGTTACCAAGACAAAGTGAAATCCTTAAAAGCCCAATGACATTTATAGTTGAAATTAGCTAAACACATTTCAGGTGCATCAAAACAAAAATGAGCAATGTCTTCCTTATTTTCTTTAAATATCAGCCACAGTCTGGAGAAAAACCTGTGTCCTGCCAGCATGCTGCAGAGTGATACCCTTGCTCTCCATGGGGGAGCAGTGATCCCTTTGCAATGGTCTTACATACTCCCTGCTTAGAGAGAGACAAAGCTCCCCAATAAGTGGGGAGCATGAGCTTTGCTGTTTGTAGAGCTATAGGTCTGCATTATCAAGGTGAGTGTTGGACATCTGCAGAGAAACCATTGCTTCCCCATAAAATTTCAGGGTCCAACTCTGCAGCATGCTGGCAGGTGACAGGCTTTTCTAGTGACAGGCTTTTCCAATCAGGCCATGGCTGCTTTAAGGTGCCCATACACTTTACAACCCTCGCAAGACTTTTGTCTTGCAAGGGTTGTAAAGTACTTTAAAAAACGTACAATCTGCCCATCTTGGACAGGCAGATCGTACTTGGGATCATCGCAAGCCTGCCCCCCTAAGGGGCGGGCTTTACGATGACTGCAATGAGGGGCGGGCTTACGATCACTGCAAACGGGCTGTGTGCGCGTGGGCACACCGGCCCGTTCGGCAGTTGTCGAACCAGCAGGCCACTAACTCGCCGAGAATCTTACGATTCCCGGCGGGTTTTCTAGCCTGCTGGTTCGACGGAAGACGTGCGACCGCACAGTAGAAACGGTCGCACGCCTTCCATACACTGCACGATTCTCGTATGATCGCGGGATTTCCCGCGATTCTCGTACGAGAATCGTGCAGTGTATGGGCACCTTTAGAATGAAAACGAACTGTAAAACATTGCACGCCTCTTGATGCACCTGGAATGTATTTAGCTGATTTAAACTAAAGGTTCAGTTAGACTTTAGTTTTAGAGTTGTCACCAGAACAAAAGATCATAGGTAAATCTTCCAATGGGGACACCTGTTCTGCTGACTAATGTCTAGGAGGGTAATACGGGGCAGGAAGTGAAGGGAAAAGTATCTACGGGGCAGAAAGTGAAGGGAAAAGTATCTACGGGGCAGAAAGTGAAGGGAAATCTCCCTAATTGAATGCAGCCAGCAAATAATAAGTTGACAGGAGATTTAAACAATCCCAACTCTATCCAAAACTAAAGAAAACCCTAAATACACCAACTAAATTGTCTCTAAATTAAACATTTATTTCAAGTAAATTTTATCTAAGCAGCTCAGTAAAACTGAGAATTTTTGCCTTAAAGTGGAACTTGCCCCACTGATTTAACAGATAAACTAACTAAAAAGTTACTTTCAAGGCGTGCCAACTGTCAAGTATGCCTGTGTTCTTATTTAAACTCTCAATCAAACTTCTAAACCCTCAAATGGCCGATGTCATAGCTGATCACATTTGCAGCACCATAGCAACTGGAATCCAAATAGAGGCTATGTTGGTGCCTTCCTTGGCTGTAAAGGATAGAAGGTTGTAGTTATGCTTTAGAAATATCATTTGTTTTGCAGGTGATCCAAGTTTGCTTAAATTACTCCATTCAGTCCTGCATCTTCTGCAGTCAGCAAAGCTCATGCTGTCTGCTGACTGGCTCTAGCTCTCGCTCAGCAGGGGTGTGTCAGACCTCTGCAGAGAGACCAGTGCTTCAATACAAGGGTTCTTCTTACAGCAGGCAGAGACAGGCATTTCTCCTCATGCTGTGGCTGCTAAATGGACTAACACAGCATAAAGCATTTACTGTACCTTTTGTTTGGGTTATAATTATCCAATAATTGTAGCCAGTTGCTCCTGTGTCATGCCCCTTGTTAATATGTAATGTGCATAATAATTTAAAACAATGGCACACAATTGAAATGATAACATAATGCAGTTCTTTTAAACTAGTTAATACAGAATATTTATTAGGCATTGAAACAAAATATTATCTTACATTTATACATTTTCCCTGGCAGTTCCTCAATACTCAGAGAATAAGAAATACAAGGCACATGTCCTGCATTGAGAGGTAAATCCAAAATATTATTTGCTGGAGCTATATACATAGTCTGGAGTGAAGTATTTTTATGTACACAGTACACAGTAAATTCTGTAGGATGCATTTCAAACTCATTGCTGCTCTCTTCTAATGTTCTTCCTGTTATAAATTATACAGATTGAAAAAAATACATTCTGCTATACCATATGGCTGGCAGTAGCACAAAATGGGCCTCTCGCTTAGGGTGAAACTCCAGTCAAACATTTTTCTAGTTTTGGTAGGGAAGGGTAGGGTAGAGTAAGGAAGGGTCAGTTAGGGTAGGGTTAGAATCTTTGGCAGGATGTCCCATTTTGGTTGACTCACCATCATTTTCTGTTCTGTTCACCAAAGCAGAAATTGGTGGGAAGTCTACAATTTTACATTTGTCAACAGGACAGGAGTAGAGAGGAAATCTCTTATTGGGAACACCGGTTCCTATGACAGCTTTCAAAGGTGGGATTTCCTTTTGCTTTGATGAGATTTTGGGGTTGATTTACTAACCTTATAAACACACCACGAACGTGTATACACCTCTGCAGTGTGTTCCCTCCCAGCATGATCTATGGGTGGAATCTAAACACCTTTGTAATGTGTACACACCCAGCAGGTGTGTTGTGCAAAGCCCTGAAGGAATTCCAAGGTGATGTTGGGTAAATTAGCTCTATGTTATGTTGCTTGCGTTGATGAATGCAGGAATGTAAATGCATGAGCTAACCATTTTTGTCTAAACTGTGAAGCAGCATTATATATGCATCATGTGCATGATTTTTCCATAAATGGCATTAGTGGAAATATGCTTTTAGAGACTTTTTGGTTGATAAATACGTTTTGCTGTGTGAAAATCACACACACCTGGTGTGTGTGTGTGTGTGTGTTTAGGTTAGTAAATCACCCCCTTTGTCTCACTTCTTTTTTGCCTCTTGGACAGGAAATGAGGAGAAATCAATGAGGGCAGAAGGTTCACAATGGAGATGGTTTTGGCTGCAGTTCCATTGTAAAAACCATAATTAACTAAGCATTACAAAAGTAACTGTTTTATTGCTTATGCATTGCTGCCATTCAAATCCTGGTATTATTATCAGTTGATTAATAAGGAACTCACGAGTGAGACAAATCTCTGCAGCACTGGTTAGATGTGGACTTTCAGTAGATAAACTGAAAAAAAAGAGCCAGCAAAACAGAAAAGGACCAAAGCAGTAAACTAGACACTGTCACTCCTGTTTAGACATTGCCTTTTAAGATTGTTCCCCTTTGACCATAGAAAAGAGTATGATCTTTCCTTTGTTCAAATTACAAAAAAAATTTAATTTCTGGGAGGGGTCAATGGCATGAAAATGACACCCACCAACTTAGATCTATGAGTTTTAGGGATCTTTAAGAAAGTGTGGTGTTGTGATGTGTCACCTGCACTCCTTACAGCGATTGGACCTTTATTAATGGTTGTGGTGCTCGTAGTGATTATATGAATGGCGCCATGTTTTTTGCGACTTTAAGAAAGTGTGACATTTCCACACAAATGCTTGTTATTCTGCCGCCTCCACAAGCCTAAAGCCATGATGTCACTCTCTCCCAATTATTTTATCTATTCTATATTGCAAAGAATGTTTCATAGGGGTGTGACACCATTATTAGGATTTTGTAATGACTGCAGCACTTTGGCACAATTAAGAGGTAGAAGTCAGAACTTGATTCACATAGAACAGAGAATACGGGCTATTGTTTGGGCTCTTCCTGATGCAGCCACTCATAGTAGGAGGGAAAGGGTCACTTTTATAATGTCCATAATAAATATTAAAGTGGGACGATAGTCTATACAGTTCTCTTGGCAGACCCTGCTTCCACTTGTTCTACAAGGAAGTAAGGCTCAGGCTCTTCCCTTGATCTTTGTTGTCAATAGTTGACAGTTCATCACTCAAGTCAACAACATTCTCATGACATTCCAGGGCCTGGGACTTGTCAAAAGATGACTCTTCATCTTCATTGGGTTGGCAGCATTTACAGCATTTGAATTTGCTGCAGCAGCAGCAACATCGGCGACCACAGAACAGAGTAGCACTGATCATCCAAGAATCCCACGGCTTTAGAGAATGCATCCACTTGGGAAGGAAGTCCCATGTCTTCAGGAAGTCTGGCAGCACACGTTTGCATTTGGCTTGCATAACACTGATGACAATGACGACAATTATCACAAACACAATAGGGACACAAACTCCCACAAGAATCTGCCATCCAGCGATTGACAAACCAAACACCGCCAGAGGCAGCAAGAAAAAACAGAGAATCAGATAAACGACGGCAAACCACCGGTATTTGGCTGTCTTGTTTCCTAGGCCTTTAGCTAGACGAATAGGTATTCTCATGAAGGGAATGGGATACCATATAAGGATCCCGGATATATTGAAGAAAAAGTGACATAAGGCAATCTGCAAAGAGACAAGCAAAACATTTATTTTACTTTTAAGTATATGTCAACCATAACAATCAATGACTCACAGGTCAGAAAATGCAAAATAAATTACCTGTTAATCCTGCCAGAAATTCGCTGCTGCCCTGTGCACTCTGCAGTGTTATCTCAAATGTTATCAGAAAGTGTCTTAGGACTACAGGTCAACACCACCACTCCCTGTTGTGGAGAAGATAAGAGGGGGTGTCCTGTAGTCCTAGGGTGACAGTTCTTCCCTGTCATAGAAAAAGTATGCTGAATAAGTGTTTTTACCCTAGGGCAGAAAGTATGTGACTGGCAGGATCATCAGGTGAAAATGTAGGAAATAAAGCCTGAAAAAAGAAATCTAATTCAGCCACAACATCTAAAAATGGGTAAACAGCAATATATCACATTTATTTTTTGATGCAGACAGTCAGTATTATTTAGGAAGCAGTGCAAATCAAGGTAACATATATGCAGAGGCGGCTCTAGACTTTGTGAGGCCATAGGCGAAACTCAAATGTGAGGCCCCCCACTTATACCCATAATGGGGAAAAAAATGCAAACGATAATTAAAAATGAACTGTATAAATTGCATATTTTAAGACTAGCCTTTAGGGCCGGTTCACACCACAAACAGTGCGTTCCAGAAAGGTCAGCTACCTGCGTTCAGGGGTGGGGGGGGCGTGGCAGTGCATTTAAGTCAATGGCATCATCCCCCCCCCACCCCCCACATGCAGTGCGATCGCCCGCACCCGAACATTTGGCACGTTAGTGCCTGTGTTCCGGTCCAGTGCGAATGTGCCATGCGTTCGGGGACGGGGGACATGGCTGCGGTGCCATTGACTTCAATGCACCACCACGCCCTATCCCGCCCCTGAAAACAGGGAGCCAGCTGAGTTGCGATACAGTGCATTCCAGTGGCGCCCTCTCTGGAACGCAGTTTGTGGTGTGAACCACCTCCTAATCCTAGCAGCTAGGAATTCACAGCTCCTAGAGCAAACATTTTATTTATGTCTTTCTGTGGGACTAAGTGTTTAGGGGTCAGTAGTCAGTAACGCACAGAGTGCAGAGGACAGTAACGCACAGAGTGCAGAAGTCAGTAACGCACAGAGGTCAGTAACGCACAGAGGTCAGTAACGCACAGAGTGTAGAGGTCAGTAATGTACAGAGTGCAGAGGTCAGTAACACACAGAGTGCAGAGGTCAGTAACGCACAAAGTTCAGTGACGCGCAGAGGTGTGGAGTCTCACCAGGGCTGCGCGGGGTCTCGTGGGAGAGTGGATGAGAGGGGTGATGTGTGTGCATGCAACATCACTCCTCGTTGGCTAGTGGGTGGAGCTCCAGAAGGCTGCCTGGATAACCTCCACAAGGAAACAAGTCATCAGTTATGACGGCAACACTCAGTTTAGGGGAGGTGGTGACAGCCCTAAGAGAAAATCAGGGTTGATGATTTATCAGTGTGTTGCTAGATTATCCAATCAGCAGACCACGGGTTGGGAAGGTGATAGCTTTGGAGTTCAGCTTAATAAATAGTGGGGGTAAAAAATACACCAGTGGGCAGTGCACACCTAGCATATTTTACACCCATCTAAATGTTTATGACTGTCCACAGCAACTACTGTTTATACATTTTACCTGTTTCATTTGCAGTTTCTTAGGGTCAATTCACACCAATTGCGGTGCGTTCCAGAGCTGCTGGAACGCACAGCAATCACTCCCTAAACTTTCCCCTTCATTCTGAAGCGGGAGGGGGCGTGGCAGTGCATTGAAGTCAATGGCACCGCAGCCAACCCCCCCATCCCCCGCGCGATCGGACGCGTGGCAAAACACTGACTGCGTTCCAGTCCACTGCGAATGCAAAAAATGCTGCATGCTCTATTTTTTGTATTCGCAGTGGAACAGAACGCAGGCAATGTTTTGCCACACGTCCGATCGCAGTGCAGGTGTGGGAGCGTGGCTGCGGTGCCATTGACTTCAATGCACCACCACACCCCCTTCCTCCCCAGAACAAAAGGGGGAAGTTTAGGGATCTGCGGCTCTGAAACGCATCGCAATTGGTGTGAATGAACCCTCAAAATCAGCAAGGATTTGGACTTTGTTCTACATTAGATTCGGATATATACATATGGATTCCCACTGTGGCTTGGCAATTTCTATGCATGGATGGTGGTCATCCACCTTATGCAAAGGCTATTCTAGCTAGGCAGGGTAATACATTGATGTCAAAATTGTTATTGAAGTGACTCCACCGTTCAAAATGTAAGTTAAAAAAAAACACGTTTTGAACATGCTGAGCATGTTCGGCCGACCCAAAGCCACGCAAAGCAAGCCGATGCACGGCTGATTTCAGCCGTACATCCGCTGAAATCAGTTGCTACGGCCAGATCCTTCAGCAGCTTCGTGAATAGACCCCCATAGTCGCCAATCAGGCATCACTTCATTGAACCCAAAACAGAAGGATGTGGATTCTGATAGGTAACTATGAATGCTGCATTGTGCACTGCATTTAGCTTGAAGGCCTTTGTAAAAACAGTATTTAGAAGAAAAAGAATTACATTTGCAAATCAGATACTTTATCAGCCTTTTTAAATAAATGCCTGTGAATATTTTTTTTGCACTGTGTTTTGTCAAAGTTTGCATGGCAGACACTGAACAAGCACCTATCAACAACGTGCTCCATCCTTGTTCGGACCAATTCGTTTGGGATGGGACATTCTGTTAAACTTGAAATGTACATAAAGAAGCCAGTTCATTAAAACAATAAGTAGGAGCTTTTTGTAAAAGAAGGATTCTCTTTAGGGGGCAAGGAAACCTTTATAAAACATGGGTCCATTTTTCTGCACAATTGATACATTGCTTGACCAACCTACTGTGAATGTGTGTTTTGTTATCAGTGCTGGTAACTCTTTGTTTGTTGTTTTAAATCTGCCCTCTTTTAGATCTGTTTGGAATATAAATTGGAGCCAATTCTTCTGGAGGTGTATTCCACTGTTGCATATTGAATATATTACAGTAAAATGCCTTTCATTAGCTTCTCTTCTTCAAACTTAGCTTAACAACATGTAGTCTGGATCAATTCTTAAAAAAATATAGAAGCTAAAATGGAGCAGTTAAGCCAGACGTCATAACAAAAACCAGCTGGTTGTAAGTTTTTTAATTTACTGGATGGAAAGAGCCAGGTGATGAATCTTTTATATTCTTTGCATTTTAACAAAAACACTTCACATAACAGAAGGGCTAAATTGTCCGTAGGACCCACACTAATACCCCAAATTGTAATCACCAGGAATCTCATACTTGAATTTGTTTTATAGATAAAGCAACATCAACACTAGGGGGGTGATTTACTAACCTAAACACACACACACACCAGGTGTGTGTGATTTTCACACAGCAAAACGTATTTATCAACCAAAAAGTCTCTAAAAGCATATTTCCACTAATGCCATATATGGAAAAATCATGCACATGATGCATATATAATGCTGCTTCACAGTTTAGACAAAAATGGTTAGCTCATGCATTTACATTCCTGGATTCATCAACGCAAGCAACATAACATAGAGCTAATTTAAACCACATTACCTTGCAATTCATTGCAGGGCTTTGCACAACACACCTGCTGGGTGTGTACACACTACAAAGGTGTTTCGATTCCTCCCATAGATCATGCTGGGAGGGAACACACTACAGAGGTGTATACACGTTCGTGGTGTGTTTAAAAGGTTAGTAAATCAACCCCTATGGATCTTATACCGACAAATGGAAAATATACAAGACTAAGAAGACAAACCTGCACAGAATTTTCTAAGGTTTCCCCAGGACTGGCTAAGGCAGCCAGCAGCGCTGTTGCTGTTGTTCCAATGTTAGACCCAAGCGTCAGGGGATAAGCTCTCTCTATGCTAATCACACCAATACCTACAAGGTGACACAAGCCAAATGTTAGACAATGATGACAAACACTCACTATTTTCCCACAAAAAATATGAACGTTTATGAATCATACCGATGAGTGGAGTTATTGCAGATGTGAAGACAGAGCTGCTTTGTACAATAAATGTCATCCCGGCTCCCACCAACATTGCCAAGTAACCCGTCAGCCATGCGAATGGGAAAGGGAAATCTGTGGAATGATAATGAATAAGTTGTGACTCAATGATGTGACCCAGCACTGTAAAACAATGGCATATACAGTAGTAGCAGTATGCTGTTGTAGCAATCTAAGACAAGTATGTAAAAAAGGATGGGGTAGTATATCACCTGTGCTCCTCAACATGGACTTTTAAAGGACAAGGAAACTATTAGGGTTAACACCATGGTGATTAAATAGCTTGAAATGGTGATGTCTCCTTTCCTCCTAATGATCATAAAGGAATGCAGTAGAGGGACAGAGCACAAATATAATGCTCTTTTGTTTAAGGCCTGTGGCACTGGTTCTACTTAATAGTGCTGGTAATCCCAGTGAGCATGTAGCTAGGCCAAAATTAGTAGCATATGATGAAATGTTCAACATAGTTCAATGGTCAGCCAATGTTTCCAAGCAAATATACTGTACTGTATGAGCCCTGAGAGGTCCTGAGTTAAATACTCTAGCCAGGTGACATCATGGCAAATGGACAAGCAGAAAGGGCACTAAAGCAAGGCTTTTTGCTAAGTCTTAAATAAGCACAGCGACTGGAACCATGGTTTGCTGTGTACCCCGCCTACTCTGTAGGAGTTTGTTTACTTGTATATATACAGCATAGTATCAATTTCTAATTATATGTATTATTACCGGTGTTAATGACCTTCTTGATGACCACAGATACTTGTCCCTTCAGCATTGAGTTCAGGAGCTTAACGATTAGGATCAGACAGACACACAGCACTAGAAGTGACAGTACCAAGAGGATAAGTCCGACTGCCAGGTCTGGGAGATTTGATTTGGCGAACAGGTGCGCACCTTAACAATAAAATGTTGAGAATTTAATGTACTGGTTTATAAAATTCCTACATCCATATACATGATAGCAAAAGTCTTTAATCTTGTGTACAGCAAGTCAATGACATTCAACTGGGGGGTCCAGTGACCACATTCATCCCTCAAGGCCTAACGCTGAGGACCTTGAGCTTGTATTTTCTTTATAATCTATGGACAAGGAAGTTTGGGTTGTAATAATTTCACTCTCAGGCTCATTTATGCATGCATGATAGAAATACTGTAGCATCTAGAAAGAAATTAAAATGAAGGTGGTCCAATGAGGAGTGAAACGTTCCACAAACAGCTGGCTTCCGGGCTAGTAGTACATTAGAAGCAAACTACAGGCTGTTATTTTGCTTATTGCATTTGCGTACAGCTAACACAGTGCAATAGTCTGTGTAAAAAATGTACATACATCTTAGATTTCTCATTGTGTTACTATAGTCATAACTGAATCTGGATCTGAATTTTTTATTTATGACAAATGCCCATTTAAATTGTTTAAATTCTAGTGGACTGGCTGTTATGCCAATCCACTAGCTCTAATACTTTCCAAGGCACTGACCCAGAACAATTATGTGGACCTGGAAATTTGGAAATCCTTATCTGCATTGTTCCAGGTCAGTGACTTAAAGTATTAAGGAAGGTGGTCATAGATTAATTTGCAAAGTGTTGTTGAAGGAGACAAGGGGACCACATGAGAGGTCCTGCAGGTTTACCAGGACGATCTGAGTTACATGAATAAATACTTACAATAGACTTTAACTTGTTCTGGGACCTCTGTCCATGTCACATTGTTTTCATCCGTCCAGCAAATTCTGTCAGCAGTGCAGTTTTCTGGGCCGGGTACTGAAGCATTTACCCACCACGGCTGTAAAAAATAGCAAATATGCTCATTTATACAGAGTTTTTGTAAAAAAAACAATCTCTTTATCTATTCCATAATATCTTTCTACAAATGCAGATGGGTAACTGCAAGCAGCATTTTGGCTAGAGACTTTATCTGTTGTCACCCTAGTAATGTTATAATTATATTTCATTTACACACAATATAGTGAGTGGTACTGAGTGGGTGGAGCATATTTTCCTAAATCCTTCCCCAGAGCAGCACCCATATTACCACTTCACAGACATACAGCTTGGTAGGAGCCAATTATTGAACATATACTAATGCAAACAGCATACCTAAAATCATTTTTAAAACATATTTCTTACATTTTAGATGCCTTTGGTGAATGCCTTTGTGCAGATTCCAGTTGGCAAACTAAAGTAGAGGGACAAACTATGGCACACTCTGAGCTTCTTCTCATTAACATACAATGCTTCTAAGGTTTGAACCCTTTGTTAGGCCAGACAGTGTTCACATCTAGTTTATTACTGATAATGAAATCTGGCAGCGCAGTGCAGACAGGGTTCATTAGAGTAAACATAACTTGGCTCTGCTCCCTCCTTAACATTACATATGGGAGGGGGAAGGGGAGTTATGTTATGTGATTGGGAATATAAAAAAGGTGCTATCCCAATTTGTCTGCAAAAGTGGAAATACACTTTAAGCTGGTTAGGTTTAGCCCCCACTTGTGCCATGGACATAGTAATGGATACTATCTCTGCTACCAATGCTGATACATCAGTGAGACCACAGACACTTTACCTTGGATCCACAATCTCTCTTGATCAGACTCTTGTTCTGAGCGGCTGGATCCCCATTGGCAATCTCCTGTATGACTTTCCTATCAAGCTGCAAAACAGTAATTTCACATTTCACAGCGAGGCCTGTTTTTAAAAAAATGTTTTATTGTTTGAGCATTAGGAATCTAAAAAAAGATGGGGAACAGCCTACAGTTATTCATACCTGGATGATTCCTTTGGTAAGAGGCTCAGTGATAACCTTCAGCATATCTGGGGCATCCTCTCCAGTCTGTATGTTAAAAGAATCCACAATGGCATTGGTGAGATGGTACAGGTATCCTGATGCTACTTCAATTGGCAGCAGGATCAGCACCGACAGCCAGTTAAAGAAATCATGGACAGTAGCTCCAGCGAAAGCCCTAATATGAGGAAACACTATGGTTTATTACATGGATTTCCAGCTTATGTCATGTTATTTCCAGATAATATGAAAATATGACACTTTAATGTTTGTATCATGCATTTTAAGCTTTAAGCAGACTTAAGGTGGATTACAATTGTAATCTATTTGCTAAAGCTATTAGTGACATCAATACTGATTTATTTCCAATGTGTGAGCGATACAATTTTAACCAGAAATATATCTGTAACACAATATTTTAGGGAATGAAAGCATATGTGATACTGCCACGTATACAGGCGTATTTTTTTTTTTTTTTTTACCTGGATATAGGCTTTAATGTAAACTCTATTTGTATTTATCTGTTTGTTACTCTCATAGTCATGAAAAAAGAGCAGATACTGTACCTTCTAAACTCATTCCGGTCACCGGACTGCATCAGCGCCACAATAGTGTTTGTGACCGATGTACCAATGTTGGCTCCCATGATGATAGGAATGGCTGTCCTGACCGTTAAAACTGCCAAAACACAAAAACATGACCCCCAATTAATATTAATAATGATGTAATAAGGAACACAATGCAGAAAACAACGTTTGTGACTTGTCACAGCACTCAATCTTCTTCCCCTTGGAATAAAAGCCAACTCCAGGCAAAGAGCTCTAAATATGTCAATCATTTTATTTATCAAAGGATTTACAGTTCTGCAAAACAAGTTTTGTGATTTACACACTGAACAGCCAGGCAGGCGACACACTTATTTTGGTAGGTAATACACTCAGTATACTGTATATATATTCAAACTGTTTATTTTGTTGTTTGCTTGTTTTTTGCTGATGGCAAAAATTTGAATGGTTCGAAATAATCCCTTGTTATTTGGTAGAAATGACGGAATGTCAATACCATTTGTATTATGGAAACAATAATCTACTCAACAGAAGTTGTCTTTTCCTTCTTCACAGAGGTCAGAAGAGTATGGGGGACACACCTATGTATTCTCTATAGGTAAGAATTCCTACTCACGTCCAGATGACACCATGCTGACCACAATAGATGTGGATGTACTTGAGCTCTGTACAAGGACAGTCACCAGGACACCAATCACTATACCAGCAACAGGATTGGACAGAATAGAATGGTTCTTGAAAATCTCTCCTGCAGCTTTGCCTAAAATAAAGTAATCAAAGTTACATAGTTAGTTTGCTAGTTAATCCAATTAAACATGATAAGCTCAGCCCATCCAAAATCTCCATAATGTAGTCTAACTATAAAAATCCAACAGGAATACTGTAACCCCCTCATATTTCATAATTAATAAAGCATAGAAATGTGATATATTGTAGTTTAGCAGTCTTTAAATATTGTGGCTGCCTTAGTGCTCTTTTTTTCAGGCTAAATACATTTTCTGCAAGTACAGAAAAATACCAGTTGATCTTGCCAAAAATCAAGTGTGCTTGTTATTTCCTATGAACTGAGATCACACACAATGTTATCATCTATATCTGTAAAAAATAAGTCAAGGCAACTGGACTTGCTGTATTTTTTTTTGAAGACGTTTCACTGGACATCCAACCAGCTTTCTCAATTCAGAATGACTTGTACAAAAATTCTCTGGGAAGAAATATGGTGAATGTTGCTCCAATCTACATAATCTGTTAGTCGCAACCAGGTGTTGGTTGCATTTGCATAATTGAAGCTAGGAGGTGTTAATTATGCAAATGCAATCAACACCTGGTTGCGACTGACAGATTATGTGGATTGGAGCAACATTCACCATATTTATTCCCAGATAATTTTTTGCACAAGTCATTCTGAATTGAGAAAGCTGTTTGGATGACCAGTGAAACGTCTTCAAGAAAAATACAGCAAGTTAATTTGCCTTGGCTTATTTTTTACAGACTCCACTTCTCCCCAAATACCAACTTTGGCTAGTGTGCTGCTTTAGTTTCTGTTCACAAGAAATGATGAACTGCGCCAACACATAATCTAAAACAGGTCTACTAATGGTTTTCTAAAACAAAGACATCACTGCTGGAATGTTGACCTGTAATGGGATGACCCGTGTATTATAGCATGCTTCAAATGGTTATAATAAAAGAGCACCCACTTACCTCCAACTAACTGGAAGGCAGAGCTCAACACATCCAGAGAACACACAAAGAAATACAGCAATGCCACTAAGAGGATAAACCTTGTGATTCCCTTCAGAACAGACAAGATGCGTTGTTTCGTGTTCATTTCTAAAGAGAACAAGAAATCACTTTAATTGTTTGTTGCACATGAAAGAAACATAATCTGTAGCAACGACTTTGCTATAACAATCAAGGCAATAATAGCAAAAGTACTAGTGTACCTACCTGACCACTTTGGTCCTGTACTTTTAAGTTCCGGCATGTCCCATGGATCAATCTCCTTTTCTTCTCCAGGCATGTCCCATGGATCAATCTCCTTTTCTTCTTCAGGTATGTCTTTGCATACAGTGGAATAACTTGGTGGCAAGTCTGTAGTAGCTAAACTACTATTGTCTACAAAAACATATATGAATAAGTATATGACAAGCAAATGTCATGCATGATTCTACAACATTTTTAAAGCTTATCTCCGGGAAAATCAAATATTGTCTAAATACAAGAGGTCCATGTATTGATAATTGAATCTTTGAACGCTTTGTATATTTCTTCCACATCTGTGCAGTAATCCAGTGTGAGCAGGCGTTTCCTGTAATAAAGACCAGCCACTGCAGCTCCCCCTCCTTGTGCTGGGTAACTGGTCTTATATCTGCCCCCTCCTGTAGCTTTCTGCAGGCACTGGCAGCCTGTAGTGAGTGGAGCATGTTGGGTCCCTCTCACAGCTCTGATCTCTGCACAGGCTATGTATAGCACAGTGATGATGTCACTGCTACTCTTACAATGTAATACCTGGGTTTACAAAGATATTAGTTGAACACAAAGTTGATTTATAAGCTTTGTGGATATTGAAGAATATGTTTAAATTAAAGTTTTTATGCTCGGAGTTCAGCTTTAAAATTTTGTTATCTGTTACATAAATATATGAATGTGATCACTTAATTTAAATGATCTTCACAATGCATATTATGGTATTGTATTAAATCTTATTTATATAATGACTTTTAATTATACATGTACATGGGGTAGCCGTATTTGTCCATATCATGTACAGGCTATGTTTCTCACTTATTAACCCAGTGCAATGGTTGCACTTTGCAGTTCCTTATTAGTCTGCTTAGATATTCTATTAGCAATACAGGTGGTTTATCTTTATCCAGTAATTGATCTAATCTTAGCAGTTGCTCGTTAAACCCAAATCCCTGCAATTTATATACAAATCAATTCAATATCATGTCAAATATATCTCTATTTGGCTTTATGCCACCATGCAAATGATTATGACTGTTTTATCTTACATCTACTTTGTATATTAGCACTAATTCTACCTTCAGAGACAAAATTGTCAATAGGTTATATTTGAAGATCAAAACTGCCCACTCACTGGAACTTCTAGAAAGGTTTTTGTCTAAACTAGAGTACCTCCTTAACAGCACTTTGTTGCAAGTACTTACCAGATGGAGGGTCTGCATTGCCATTTGGAGATGTGTTCTGCGTTTTTTTGACATCGTCCAGATTATCAGCAATATGGTCCTTGAATTCCGGAGCCATTTTCTGGAAACAACACAGTTCACAAATGAAAATGCTGACAGATACAAACTTCCTATCAGTACGATGCAGCAACCGTGCAGCTTTGTGTCAAAGATATTGTTAATCACCAACAAGCATATAGACTAAAGCAGCATCAGGGCAATAAAGGTGAGCAAACAGCAGGTACTATGAGAATCATTCATAATTGCCCTTTCATTAGTATAAGGCTGTCAGAGCAATGTTAGGGGCACTGTGATTGGTTGTAATACATTACTGCTCCTTGCTCATCATTGTATTAAAGAAGTGCTTTTAGCATCTAATATAAACGTGACTATTACCTCTTCAAAGCATGGAGTCCAACCGTTACAGGTAACAAAAGCTACTTTGGTTACTATGGACAACTCTGTACCTATTTTTTGAAAGCTGTAATTTACTTTCACAGTTAGTATGCATTCTGCAATGGCACATACCTCCCAACTGTCCCTCATTTGTAGCCAAATCCCTCTGTCCCTCTTTCCTCTTGGTTGTCCCCCTTTTTGGTCTGATGTACAGATATCTATGAAAAGGTTCTATTTGACTGTTTAAGTGTTATTCTGCACTAAAACCTTTGCCTTGCCTCTTAAATATCTTGTTTACTATTTTAAAAAGCCAGTGTAAAGGAAAAGTAACAGTGGAAAAAAATTATAGGTTTAACCAATCATTTTTGGCAAAGAAATCCTCATAATGGTCCTCATAACTGGGGACATAACAGCGCTGTGTCTATTGCCTAAATACATTGTGCTAGGAGGTGTCCCTTTTTCTCATCTCAGAATGTTGGGAGGTATGTAATGGTTTGGTATAACTTTTTTATTTTGGATAAGAAGCCAAGAAGGGAATTTCAGAAGGAGTCATCTCCTCGAACAAATCTTGTTCGGAAATTCCTGGTAATGCCTGTCTTCATATTTACTTTACTGGAACAGAATTTAAAAGAACATTAGTTATTGCAATAACTATTAAACAATGGCTTGATTCTCTCAAAAGAAGACTTTGTATTAGAAAGATAATGAGGTCTGGACACACAATGAGCTATAGAACATCCTAGTTTATTGACTTGTCACACATTGTTCTTGCTGCCTCTATGTCTTTCACAACAGCTTGTGAGCTATCAATGAGTGCTAAGACACACGGGGCATGGCTATGCTGTAAATCTTTAATTTCATGTATTGATCAGTGGCATTGATTTTAACCTGATGATGTAATCTTTTGTATTAGTTCATCAAGAACTGATGATCTATTGAACTTCTCATGAGTAGCCAACATTCACTAATACATTGCCTGAACAACAGGTTATGCCACAGATTCAAGCATTTCTTCTCAACCTGGGCAGTGTAAATTTTAACTAGACAAGCAATATAGAGCAATCTTGTGTGTCTGGAAAACTGCATAATTACAGCATGGCAGGATTATGACGTGGGAGAAATTATCTGCAATTAAGCAGCAACTCTTCCCTTTTCTATTTATAAATTGTAAGGATCTTTGGTCAAATGTATGCCTTTTATTCATGTTCTGTCAAATCCGTAGGCAAACTCCAGCCCTCTAGTTGCTGCACAACTACAAATCCCATTATGCATTGCAAGACGCAGCCACAAGCATGACTCCCAGAGGCAGGTGTATGATGGTACTGTAGTTTCACCACAGCTGGATGTCTGTAGTTTACCTACCCCTGGTCTATATGTAGGCATGCTAGTCAAAAAGCAAAATACATTTTATGGATACATGCTATACACCTATTTATTATATTGAAGGTGCTGTATTGACAGAAGCTTGTGTGGTCACAGAAAAGGCACCCTAAAAATGTCCCATACAAAAAATATGGACAAATGTGTTAGAAGAGTGACATGCTTGTGAAGCAAAGGACCTATTCAGATAGCTATACTGGATCTGGTGTTGCAGTTATTATGCTCATTGCATGTGTTATTCTATATCCTATCATATGCTCACAGATTTTCCTAACAAGGGAGGGAATTGTATGGGGACTCATGCCAAGACCTCAGTGCTAAGTCATACACTGAACCTTTTCTATGATCATTGCTTTAAATATATCCTGGTCCATCTCCCACAAGTCAATCCTCCTAAACCTGCTGGGCCACTTCTTTATAATTACCACCTCCACCTTGACTCTGTTTTATCCGGGATACAATCATAGCACCTTGCAGGAATACATGGGAAAGTGTTCACTGTACTCTATGCAATAAATCTAGTAACTGGACGATGCAGATAATTGGGTGCAAGATTGGGTAATTCATTGTATGGGTTAGACAACAACTTTCATTACAAGCAGATAATACCATTAAAACAGCTGGGAGTGGAAGTTTTATGAGTACCAACATCAGCTCTGGATATTAAGAATTTGTAGAGCGCAGTTGGGATCTTTTATTACAACAATGCAAAGAGTGATGAAAATATGACAACTGAAGATAACCAAAAGAAGAACTCAGATTTGTAGAATGTGCATGTTAAACTGTTTAGACAATTTTTGATTGGCTCCTAGGGGTTCCTGGGCTTTGCATATTGACTAGATACTAAAGAATAAGCCCACTCTATGTTAGAAGTGCTTGATACCACCTCTGCTTTCCATTGCTAAATGGTTACTGGCTGCAGCTTTAATCTATGTCATCTTTTAGAAGGTTGTTCCACAAATAGGAACCACTACAGTGAGGTGTCAGGTTTTCCTTAATCCTTAGGAAAAGAAGCAAAAGGAGTGAGGTGCTTTCTGGAGAGTTACAAGTCTCTGATTTGTCTGTAAAATTATCCATTGGCTTATACTGTATATATGATTAGAGAGGAGCAACTATTTATATGGCCAGCAGCTAGGCTCCTGGGATTTTTCCAGCCAAGACACTGTACAGTAGTTAACACTTTTTTTAACCTTAAATGCTGCAATTAAGGCCTACTTTCTGAATGTATTTATTTTAATTCTCCCATGTATGGCCAATCCAGGTTCGGCCCAGGGAAGGGCACTGCCACCCTGAACTTGACAGGTGTATTTTAACTCTGAATAAATTATTAATGCTAGGCCCAATGTTCACTCAGTAATTGTTCTAAACATTTAAAAATACAAAGATTATAATACTGCAACGTATACCATTGAACAGCACCGCTGCATCAGCAAAGCAAATGTTCTAATGTTTCCCTCTAAAGCAATATTCTCCTGAGCAAGACAGCCCTCGGGTGAAGCTTTCTATACTGAATTCATACAGCAAAGCCCCTTCCCCACAGAGAAGCTATGCAAACTCTAGCAATATAAGCAATGAGCTGCTGTCCTTCACCATTAAACTCCAAAGTACCTTTTTATCCATGTTTATGGCTGGAGCTAAGAACTGGAAGGCAATGATTGTACATGAAATAAATATGGAATATATGGAATTAATTATCATAGGCTTTTTTAAAAAAATGCTTATTTTTAGGTCTAAACAAGTTGTATTAACAGAAAACATATATTTTAAAAGAAACCTGATCATTCCTATTGACTTAGACATTCATTCTTGTCTTCCAGTCTTGTTTCTTGATTCATCACTGGTTCTGTTGCCAAAATGTGCCTGAATTTCTATCACAGTTCCACTCTCAGAAGTCCTATCTTTTTAGATTTTTGTCCCCAGTTTTGAAGATTTAGCTTGATAACGATATTTTTTTTCAACATTATTTAACATTTTTATTATTTATGGCTTTTGAAGTTAAAGTGACTATATAAGATTCCACCCTACCTGTCTGAGACGAGGCTTTCTCTAGTGGTAGCCATCATTAGCCCCCCAGCTAAGCATACTGCTTCAATATCAGACTTGTCCCTGTTGAGGTGTTCCTGAGCATAGTCCAGGAGTCAGATGAGAGCTGCTTTCAGCAGACTTTATTAGCCTGTCCGCCATGTAAAAATGAACGAGACCCTTTCTCTGTAATGTTGTGAACTTTGGAGAAGAAAATTGCCATGAGACAATTGTAGGAATGACATTGCTGACCTGATGCTAGTTGCCCTGTTGTCAGGTTCATCCTCTGACATCGCTACCTGTCCAGACCTGTTACAAGTACATATATCGGGAGCTCTGATTTCACTTGTTGCATGCTTGTTCCAGAGCCACTGTATGTCTCTTATGACATATTACCTTGCTGAAAACATATTTTGGTTTTCATGACATACAGTTATCCGACTCAATGACTAGTTTTTCCGGAAGTTATTTTAAAATGTTGGCAACTATGCAGTGACTTGTCTAAAAAATAAAGTCACATGACTATAAAGTATATTAGAGCAGCAGTAAATGTTGTCACCAGGGATAGTAGATTTGCCAAGATTTGCCTTTGGACTGTAACATTTAGTGATGTGATTTGGGAGTTTTCTTTGCCTTTGCACCTGACCGAGCGGGAAATAAAATGGATCGTAAATGTTTCAACTAAGCAAAGTTTAAGTAAGGAGAAAAAAGAGCTCCAGGGACTGAAACTGCGGGTCACGTCATAGGTGAATTAAATAAACAGCAGCCTTGTCTACTGCTCTGATGCATATCAGGAATGTGGAAACTGAGAACACTGGGGCAGATAACAGAATATTACTATGCAATGAGGCGACAGGTTCACAACAGACAGGAACTCTTTAAATACAATCACTTCAAATACTTTATACTAATTTGATCAACCTATCAGTGTGGAAACTGGCAAACAGGCAAATTTACTCATGCTTCAATCAACCTATGGCTTCAAAAAGTTATACCCCAAGAACTAAATATATAAAAGTAATACATTATATGCACATATATCTGATTACAAAAGTAATACATTACATGCATGTACAATAGCCCATAGCAACTTTTGATTAGGTAATAGATGTCAGAGCAAAGAAAGCTGTTGAATCTGTTTGGCTGATATGGGTGACTAATGTCTGCACATCGCTGTGTGCTTTTATCAG